CTCCGTTAGATTAAAAATTTTAATGAATTGACCTCAAATAAAATTTAAAGGTAAGCGTGTTATTTAAATGACCTCTTGAGCTTTTTTTCTATATTTTARTTTTGAAGTAAGTTATAAGTATTTTAAAATTGCAAATGTTTTGTGCATTTTAAAATACCTATAACCTGAGCGTAAAATGTTCTATGCTACACGCTTGTAAGACGGAGATAACACATATAGGTATAACGTCTACTTAATCATAATAATATTATAAATAATATAGATTTAAGTGATTTAAGTTCTGATAAGTATTACTTATAATATTATGACCACTAGACAAAAGACAATATTTCAATATTTTTTACTATAAATTATATAATATATGGCTAAAATGGTTAAAATGGCTAAAATAAAAATAGTAAATGGGAGGGAGGGGACTATAGCCCCTTTAGCCACCCCCCTGGCTACGCCACTGATCACATAGTTATATGCTGCAGTATACTACATATTTATAACTTTATAAGAAAGCAAACTCATAATTTCCACCCACCGATCTGGTTACGATTATAATATGTGTTATCCAACAGCAGAAGACTCACCTTGGCGTGATGTGCGTTGTTCGAATGGTGCCTGGTGCGTTGCTTCTTCGGTATCCAGACGTTCAGGTACAGACAGTCCTCGGAGAGCTTGGTGTTCGGGTTCCACATCTCCTCACCAACGAACCCGGGAAAGTACTCGTACCGCTCCTGGTAACACGTGTTCGGCAGTCTGGTGGCGTTCAGCACGCCCGTCCACGGATCGATGGGTACCGGGCGACGGAACCTGAGTGGGCCCACCGGCGGCTTGGCGAACGGTATGCCCGTGTACACCCGCACCTCGCGGTTCGCAATGATTTTCGTGTACCCCTGAACCAAGCCGGTGCTGGTCACCACCACCGGGCTCTCGTCGGTGTCCTCCACCACCGACCCGCCTCCACCACCGGCGGCGCCTCCACCGCCACCACCGGCTCCGGCACCACCTCCACCCCCTCCACCGCCGCCACCGTCCGCTCCACCATTAGATGACGGTCGGCCCAACACGGCCGAACAACACAGCAACAACGTCACTGCACTGGTGTAAACGCAGTCGACGCTCATTTTTCCAAGTATTATTGTGTTCACGTTGGCGTCCTAGCAGCAGCAACAGCGATACGCGTGGGATCTATGGAAAATCAAACAGCAAAAATGCGTTAACTCAACATTAACATATTTTTTTATGGAAAAGACTATAAAGAAAAATGGAGACTGACGTCGGTTGTATAACAGACACTAAATAATTACGTGTGTCGTCGACAGTCACGAGATCATTATAATAATGGACGTGACTCGATGTACTTTGAAAATGTACGAGGTAAGTAGTACTAAAAAATTATATAATAATCCATATTATAGGTAATCTATTAATAATATATAACTTTAATGAAACGCGCTATATTATTGAATATTATATACATTTTTTTTTTATGTTGATAATTAATTTTATTATAAACAGTTTAATTATTTTAAGCTCATATAATATTAGGTACTATAATTTAAGTACGTAGGTATATTTTTTATTAATACGTAAATTGCCAAAAAAGTATTATATAGAGTCGCGTCCATACAATAACCTCTTGACTATTGATAGACTGTACATTCTTGAAACCGTGATATTTAACAATAATATTACTATGCCAATAATTAGGTAGACATGATAAAATATTTTTTTAAATATACGGATGAAAATCATATTTCTATTTTATTCTATTTGAATGTAAAATTTCAATACAATTGTCAATTATAATATAATAAAATTATTTATTCGCATACAAACCTACTGCAAAGTGTAAATGTAATTTACTACCTAAGTATCAAGTGTGTATAACTCRGAACAAGCAGTGTTCGTTAGAAGCGTGTGCTTTCGTAATAACTCGAGTGTAAAATAGTGTAGGTTTATAATCAAATTAAACGCAAACTTAAAAAAATAAAAATATATATAATATTCAATAATGCA